ACGGACGCCCCAGCGGGGGGGGGGCCTCGCAAGGGCTCTTTCCAAGGCCCTTTGGCGAGCCCCCTGGAAACCCCTTTGGCGGGAACGCCGATGACGAGCCCGCGTGGGAGGCCTGTGACACGGCGGAGGGGCGCGCCCCGACGAGCCCGAGCCCGAGCCCCGGCCCTGGGACGGACACGACGCCGAGTGACCACCCACGGCCGGGCTCCCGGGCTGGGGAGACCGGCACCGTCAGCGTGGCGGTCCGCGTGAGGCCGTTTCTCACGGCGGAGCGCGTCGGTCCTTCCACGCGGAGCTGCGTCCAGTGTCTGAAGAACAGCATCATCATCGAGAACCCGTCGAGCACCACGACGAAGCCCGTACTGCCAATAGGGGGGTCCGCAGGGAAGAGCCCCGCGCCGGGCGTCTCGTGTGAGGAGAAGGAGAAGGTCCTCGTCCATGGGGGGCGTCTGCAGCAGTTTAACGTTAATCAAGTCTTCAATGCACATTGCTCCCATATCGATGTGTACACGCAGTCGTGCCGCTCAATCGTCCGGGACGCATTTCTAGGCATCAACGGCTGTATCCTGGCGTATGGGGCGACCGGATCGGGAAAGACTCACATCATGTTCGGCGGCCCCATGAGTGCGGCGGGGATCGTCTACCAGGCTATGCGGGACATCTTCGAAGAGGTAAGTCGGCTAGAGAGAGAGGCTGGCAAAGTGGTGAAGATCAAGTGTTGTTTTCTGGAGATTTACAACGAGGAGGTGTTTGATTTACTGTTGACCCCGCCCTCCGACGATAGCATGAATTCTGGTTTAAACACTAGCGGCATCTCCGGCAAGCCTAGTAAATCAAAGGTGGGCGAGCACCCCTCCCCGACCTCGCGCTATTCCTCCCCGAACTCATCACCGCAGAAGACTCGCGTGCAGCTTCAGTCGCGGGGCTTGTCGCGGAAGGACGCCGAGAAACATTCTAACACCGACGACCTTCACATCTCTGGCCTTAGTTATATCTATCCTAAATCACTAGAGGAATTTGCGCGACGGATAGAACATGGCCATTCGAACCGCGTCGTCGCGACGACAGATTCGAACACAAAATCGAGTCGCTCCCACGCGATCATCACCGTAGAGATTAAGGTGCTCGATAGGGGTGGGAGGAACAGCGAGGATGACCATAGAGGGGGAGCTTCCGACGTACAGGGGACGGTGGCGCGCATTAACTTTTGCGACCTCGCAGGGTCGGAGCGGGCGGCCGCGACAACGAACTCCGGCGTAAGGCTGCGGGAAGGGGGCAGCATCAACCGCTCGCTGCTGGCGCTCAGCGCGATGGTGCGGGGTCTGATTCAAAAGAAGCGGCATCCGACGCTGCAGAAGTTCGTGCCCTACCGAGGCTCGAAGCTCACGCGGCTTTTGAGTGGGAGCATCGGGGGAAATAGCCGGACGCTGATGCTCTTCTGCCTCAGCCCCTGCTCCAACCAGTACGAGGAGTCTGTCAACACGATGCACTTCGCGATGCAGGTGAAGCAGATTCAGGTGAACGCGAAGCGCAATGAGTACCACGTCAACAGCGAGCGGGTCGCGAAATACCAAGGGGCGCTGATCGAGGAGCTCTACTCCGAGATCGGGCTGATGCGAATGGAGCTGGCGCGGCTCAAAGGCGTCCAGTCCTCCGCGTTACTCAAGGATGGCAAGTTCACCACCGCGAAGAATGACAAACGGGAGGGATTAGGGCGTGCCAAACCCGCCGCCGCGCGCGCGTTCTTGGTGCCCTCCGGGTCGAATGACTCGCTGACGATGCGGGTGTGCTCGCCGCTGCAGCTCTCCTCCTTCTTGAGAGCGCAATCGGCGACGCGGCGGGCCTCCAAGGCGAGCACCGCCGACGTCAGCCTTCGCTCGCCGCTGCCGCTTTTATCCGTCGCCTCGACGGTGGCGTCGTTTGCGGAGCCGGTATCGCCGCTCACGCCGCTGTTGAACAGCGCGTTTCGGCAGATTTCCTCCTCGGAGCCGACCACCGGGCCGTTCTCCGGCAACGCCACGCAGGGAAATCGCGAGGCTGCCATGAACGCGTTGCCGCCTGCAGCCTTGAGTAAATCCTCCAGCGGCCCGAGCCCCCAGTGCTCTCATTTTCTCTCGCCGGAAAGCACCGGTGGGGGGGGGATTGTTTACACGGAATTGGAGCAGCGTCTCCGTCGATCCGCCGCGGAGAAGGAGACGCTCTACCACCAACTCCGGGATATCCAGGAGCAGCAAAGCGAGTGTGATATTCGGCTGCGCGCGCATAAGTGGAAACTCGCGCAGTTTCTCGTGAATAGTTCCATGAATAGCCGCGGGAAGGAGTCCTCGATTGAGGGGATTGATGTGATGGAGCGGGATGCGGACGACACCCCGGTTGGGATCATCGGCCTTCAGCAGCTGATCCAACGCACCGAGGAGGAAAGCGCCGCCAAGGGGAAGGAGCTCACGAAGCTCAGCCTCGCGCTCGAGTGGTGTGATAATCGGATCCAGGAAACCCGACAAAGTCTCTTGCGCGAACCGACGAGCGAGATGCTCGAGTTGCTGCTCGATAACGCCCGGCTTCGCGATAGCTACACCGAGGCGGAAGGGCTCGCCGCTCAGTATTATCAAGAATCCCGCGTCCTGCAAAACCGCCAGTCGGAGTACGTTCACGCGTTATCCCTCGCCGTCGGGGCAATTCGCGCGTTGCTGCCGAATGTGATTCACGATCGAGCCTCCGCACACGTCGTGGAGCACGCGCGATCGGTTCTGTTGTACGCGCTACTCCCTTCTGCGAACACATCGGATATGATCGCGATCTTTCAGAACGCGCTTCACGCCGATACGGCCGAGCTGCTTCCCCCGTTGCATCCCTTTTCCTCACCGAAGGCCTCTCAACAACAGGAGGAGGCGCGGCCGCACCTTTCCCGTCGCGATCGCACCGGGGATCAGGAAGGGGAGCGGCAGAAGCTGCAGGAGCATTACCAAGAACTCGTGGAGGTCGCGGAGCTCTTCCGGAGCACTTTCGCGCCGTACGAGCGCGGGATGCGGCGTGCGAGCGATTTTATCGTAAAGGCCGATCCCCCGGAGGACGCGAGCAAGGAGGACTCCCACGCCCCCTCGCTCGTGGGCGGGGAAAGCGGGGGGGAGGAGGATGGCGCGCCGACGCCCGCCCTCGTCGAGCAAATCACCCCTGCCAGCCCGCCGGACCCCCCAAATGGGGGCGAGGGGTTCTCCATGAGCGGCCTCGACGACTTTCCGTCGGCGTATCCAGTGAAAAACGAACGCGTCGCCGGGGTCGAGGCGACGACACCTTCCCCACTCCCTCCGCTTCCGGCAAAACCCCACGCCCGACGCGCGGTGAAACCCCCGGAGGCCGCCCTCGCGCGGGCCGCGTTTTCGAAAAGCGGCAACGGCGTCGCGGATCGTCGGGTGCGGGCGGGAAGTCAATCCTCCACGAGTCGATTCACGCGCGCCGGGCCCTCGGCCCCCTCGGACGATCCCCTTTTCTCACCAGGCAAGGGCTCCGTCAGGGCGTTCGCGCCGACCCAAATCTACACCGGCAGCTCGCCCCAAAAGCAAAAACTTTCGTCCTCGCTGATTCGCAACAACACGGCGTTGGAAACCCCCTTCGGGAGTGTTTCCTCCCTGCCGGAGGTGAAGGCGCCGTCGTTGGTGCATCTGTTTAAGCAGAACGGGCGATTCTGTCGCGCGCATACGATCCCTTCCGTGGCGGTGGCCAACTCGATGAATAGGCCGAATAGCAGTAGTTCCAGTAGCGTGATGAGCAAAGCACAGAATAAGGTGCGAAAAAAACAGACTTTTTTGTCGTAACTGTCATCCCTCCCCCTAGCTTTGGTCGCCTCTCCACCACCCCCACCCCCACCACGAGCGGCGGCGGTGGTGGTTGTGAAGGTTTCAAGTAGTGCAATCAGCTTAAAAATTTTTTATAGTCTTTTTTCTTTTTGTCAAATATGATAGCTGATAGTATGTTATGAATTGAGCACCATATGAAGGTTTCCACATGTAAAGCGAAAAGGAGAGGGGAGGGGAGGGGGACACTTGGGAAACTAATAAAGGGAAACAGTTGTGTGATGTGATCTTTTTGAAGTGAAAAAGTTCAGAGGGGCATAGTCTTTTTTTGGTTTTTGTTTTATTTTTTTATATAGATGTATCCTGAGCGATGAACTCCCCTGAGATGGGGTAGAGAATTTCGCTAGCACTTGAGATATATTAAGCTGAGGATGAAAGTAAAATTGATTACACTGTAGTTTATAATCTCTTATACAAATTGGGAGCAAAACCATCTGCGTTTGTTCAGTAGCTTCTATCACCACAGGTGTTTTGAACAATTACTTCCTTATATGAGTGAAATACCTTTTTATTTCGCTATTTATGAAAGGTTTTAATTTTCATATTGTATATATTTCTGGTCTAAATCTCATTGGAGCCCAATAATGACATTCTCATGCAACTTAATGGGAATAAAGGGATGGATCATCAGCTATAAATTTGAGGTCCATAAAGAAATAAATGATGCTGTATATGTTACGGTTCGATTTTTTCCTTTTGGCACCTTATACAGATCGTCCCGTATGTTGTCGTTTATTTTTTATTATTTGTTTCGGTAAACAGAGTAATAGTAGGTTTCCTCGCAGACTATCATGCTTTCTTCTGTTGCTGTCGTTGTCGTATGTTTCTTCATCATTTTTGTAGTATTATGTATGAGGTAGTGTGAATACGTAATAGTGTGGGCAACCTATGAATCCATTTAATGCTTTAAATAATGGAAACAATCCTTTTTGCCCTTGTTGTATTGCATTGGCATTTACACACCCCTCATTTTTTTTTTAAAAAACCTCTACTCTTTCTTTTTGCTTGTCTATGCAGTACTTAAGAAGTTCAGTCCTTTGAAGCTTGAAAAATAACTTGCCCTCAAGATGGTTTAGTTGTTCAAGGAGAAAAGGTCGAAGTCGGTTGGAGCGCGGAATAGGGCGTGTCTCTTTCCGAAATCTCTTCATCATGGTGTGTCTCTGTAGTTTGCAAGGCAACCAAACGAAATGTATTCTTGATCATCCTAAATGATTACATATATACATGGGTTCACCATTCTTTTAGAGTGTTTGGCTGCTTTGGTAATTTCATTAGAGCCACCATCTAAGTCTGTCCTGAGTTTCGCCCTGATAAGAAAATGAGGGAAAAAGATACCGCGTGCATTTTTTTTGTAAAATGCGGCTGTATCTGCAGCATGTTCTTATCTGGCATTGCAAGACTTAAACTTTGTTATTAGTAGTTGCTTCCTTTTGTCCTTCTGCAAATTGTAAAGTTTCAAAATATTGTGTGTAACCATAATCGAAGGAAATATTATAACATGTTTGCTTTCTTGTTGGTCCTCTTTGTTGCTTGAGATATCCTTGTACGAGGACTTTTCCCTCTCTTGTGCTATTAGCTTCACTTTTTAATGACCTCTAAAAGTGATGAACGGGCCAGTAAATATGTAACCCTTTACTCAAAGGAGGTAAATAAGCAGAAAACGACATACGTGGGGGTGGGCCTGTAGACATATATATATGTATATTACAAGTACCTGGTAGTATCCACCCTTTTCAGACATAATATTCCTCTATATGGCTAAGAATACAGCAAGCAGAAGAAGGGCAAACAGATGATTAGGGCTGCCATCACTTGCAAACAGTTATCCTTCAAAATAGGGCGTGTTTATTTTTATGTGAGCTTTGGGCCTGTGGCTTGTTCTGATTTTCCAACAGCTCTGATTTCAGAGCTGATGATGACAGTTATATTGGGCTAAAAAACCTACTATTTAACTTTTTCCTCTTTTTCTAAAAAAAATCTTATTAGCTAAGTACTGTATTTAGATGTTTGTTAGCAAACTGCTAGAAGAATGTCGATTCCTTCTTAACACCTGTGGAATGGAGGGACAAGCAGAGGGAAAGCTCGACCGAGTTATCGTTTGTCAAACCCCCCTTGACAACTTCAGGGGGTAGGCAAAGACTGCTAGTTTAGGTGTCCACAACTATCTCCTTTCACATCACTTTCTCAGCCACTTTCTGCGTAGCTCTTGACCAAAATTTTCTCCCTTCATTAACATCTCACATGTTTTACTATGGTCAGTAGTATATCGTACTACGAGGAGTTGTTATTCACTCAATTAATGTGATTTGCGATCTCTTTCTATCAATTCTTCTACAACCTCTGGGTTTCCAACATTTTCTTTCTGTGTATTCCCATTGCCTTACTCAGCCCCAACCCATTTACTCTTCATTTTTTATTCTTCCTAATTAGTCTTATCTTTTCTCTTTATTCACATATACAGATCGGCCACAGAGCGAAACCACTTTCCCTCACCATATACCCAACAACAACCCCCCACGGCGTCTTCTCGATAGGATTTCATCGCCGTCCATCGTTTACACCCGGTGACCTCTTCATCCCCTGTCAAATTTCCATCGGCAACCCCCCTTCCCTCCTTGTTCTTGTTTTCTTCTTCTTCTTCCTCTTTTCTTTATCCCTTTATTATCCACCATCCTGTGATTGCTTTAAAAGAGAAAAAACACTTGGTCTCAGCCCCCATTCATGACGACACCGGTGACGAAGGAGGCCTCCACCAAGGAGCTCCCCGAGGTGACCTACCACACCCCCTTCCCGATGGCAGGGGAGGCGTGCGTGGAGGGCGGGATGGTCTACCGTCTCGCCGGGCGTCGAGAAGCCCTTCTTTTTCGACGCTACGCCGACGACCTGGACGGGTTTACGCTTCGCCATAACAACCACGAAACGCTCGTGTGGGAGAAACGTCTCCCGAACGAGGCTTCGCACCTAATTAAAGTCTTCTCCATCTTTCATGATGCCACGCCTGGGGAGCTGTACGATTTGATGCAGGATGCCGTCTTCCGGGAGGAGTGGGATACGTTTCGGCTGGAGGCCTATCGGGTGGCGCGGTTGGATGCGGCAAATGATATCGGCTACTATGCCGCCCGCTCGCCGCTTCCTTTTGTGGCGAATCGCGATTTTGTGAATCAGCGGATGTGGCATGATGCCGGGCGGGGGGAGTATGTGATTTTTAACACCTCCGTTCCGCATCCGGCGGTGCCCCCCGGGGAGCGTTGTGTGCGGGCGGTGAGTATGCTCACGGGGTATTTCTTTCAACCCTGGGTGAATCCTCGAACCGGGGAGGTGGATGGAACGGCGTTTACCTATCTCACCCATGTGGATCCTCGAGGGTCGATTCCGAAGACGCTGATGAACTACGTTACCACGAAGTTCGCGCCGAAGACGATCAAAAAGGTCGGGAAGGCGCTCAAGCGGTTTAAGGTGTGGCTGCCTGCACAGCTCGAGGCGGGGGGGTATGTGCGGGATTGGGTGAAGGAGCCGGAGTGGTGGGTTTCCCCCGAAGAGGAGGCGGCGAATCCGATTCGAAACATCACCATCGACTTCGCGAAGGAGAAGATGAAGGGGATCGTGAACTGAGCCCAACACAAATAAATTCTTCTCCCTCTCCTTCATATATATATGACGGGAAAGACGAGATACCCTTGGGTGAAAGGGAAATAAACATAACACATACACACATACGAGGGAGGCTAGAATAGGTGACTCCCTCTCTCCTCATACAACAACCAATACACCACAACTGATATGTTAGTAAAGGCTATGAAAAGCGAAAAAATATATAGTCATTTCATAGCTTACAAATATATATATATTAATACTAGTTGCAGGAGGAAGTACTTCTATTCAATTGTTTCTACAGCTCAACTTCTGATGTGGAGTTCCATCTGTATCGCTCAACACAAGTAAGCACCTTCTCCTCGTTTTCAGCAAAGATGAAGGAAATTTAATGGATATATACAATGTTAATAAATGACATAATAGATGTACACGTTTGTACGTATATTATTCAAAAACCACCAAGGTTGGCCGAATAAGTTGTGTGCCTTATCTTCACTACTATTCCCATGAACTTGAGTGTTTTTTCTTTTCATTGTTATGTTGTTGATTTAGCTCTCGACTTGGGATTGTGGGCGTGTTAGCTTGTTTTTAATCACATGCAATTTTGAGGTATCTTCGTATGGAAGTGACAGAAAAATGGGTTGGTGATGCCCAACACACGAGGACCAAAGAGATGGGGTGCTTCATGCATCTCTTTTCTTTGTTGTATAGAGTTCAATACGGCAAATTCCCTGCGTGGGAGAACTCATCGTGTGCGAGGATTTCGTTATTGGCTACTTATTGTTATAATATTGAATTGCATACTTAGTTGAAAAATCAGCGTCTGTGAATCGTCTAAAAAAAAAAGAAGAACCCATTAAGTCAAATGACTGTGCACATTGGATTCATCATGGCTTCTTTTCCCTCCCCTTTACGGTTGTTGTTTTTTTGCTCTTCCAAAAGATTTTCATATTGCGTTCATTAAACGCATCGATCACATACACAATTCATCATTAAGGTTATTCTCTTCCCCACAGGCAGGGCGAAGGGGTTCCAAACACATTCCTCTTTAGTAGTTTCAAAAGTCTGCGCCAACGGTTGGGTTTCGTGCCCGAGCTATTGTGAGGAAATGTATCAAGATGCGCTACCCGTACGGATCCTTCGCACCGTCGCGCTCGTTCAGGGTATTGAGCGGGAACGTCGAGAGGCGGAATTCTCCCGCAGGAAGGTCGCCAACCCCTCTCTTTCCAGCTTCACCCCGATAACATCTTCCGGTGATTTCCCCAGGTGGAATTGGGCAGGGGTGGGGGTTGAAGAGCAGGAGGAGGAGAAGAAAAAGGGAGAGAAAGGAGGGGGGGAGATTCGTCATCGTCTGCATGAATACCTCGCGTGTAAAGAAGAGGCGATGCGGCGGTGGGCGGAAGGCGGTGAGGATCCCTCTTCGTCGTTTTCTTTTGCTCCCTTTTCTTCTTCTTTGATGGGCCCCGACGGTGGGGATGTTCCCGACGAGGTGAGGATCGCCCGGCGGCCGCATCCCGCGACGCAGTTTCACGGGAATCGCCCCGTGGAGGGCCTCCCCGGCCTCCCCGGCAGCCTTCCCCTCCGTTTGGTCGATTCCACCCTCGGCGGCGAGGCGGTGGCGGTTTCCGCGCTCCCCTTGGAGGCGTTATCGCGGGTTTTGAGCGGCCGTCATCGCGCGAGGTGTCGTCGGCTGGGGTATGTGTGGAATCTCCAAAAACAACGCCGGCGAGGGGAGGGGTGGTGGGAGCAACACCTGCCCGTTTTCGCCACGGCGGACGCGGCGCCGCAGGTGATGGATTTGGATCTCCGCCAAACCGCCTCTCGGGTGGCGCGACGCACCCACGATAGCGGGGTGGTGGTGATTTAATATCCAAGGAGAATTTAAAAAATGAAAACAAAAGAAAGGGTGGGATGTGAGCGTCATGCCACAAAGGGTAAGCTGCCACACTCAACGGCGGCTCACAGGAGAAAAAAAAAGCTAAATGAATCGACCTCAAGGAGTTCTCATGCCTGAGGGACTCTCTGGAGAATGGGAAAGAAAATTCAACTTCTAGATGTTTTTCTGACCCTCTTCTTTTTTTTTCCTTTTGTATGCCTTGGTGTTATACTTGTACTCTATGTACCTTGTATTTTTTGTTCTTTGGAATCGTTTTGCACCATTACTGGGATCCATTCATTTCCTCCATGATGCCACGCATCTATCTATCTATCTATATAGATGGCTTATCTGCGCGATAGATCAGGCTTTTCGGTTAGTGCGCTCCCTCTGCATCTCTTTTCTTTGTTTATTCCTTATTTGATTTATTTTCCTTTCCTACCCGTACGGGGGAACTTCATCGCGGAGGAGCAGACCTGTGTGTCCGATAACACCTCAATCCGGATCCTCCAAGCCAAAGGGTCACCCACACACCCCAGGAGGTAACCAGACCCGTCGATCAAACCCGTGTGGGGTGAGGAAGAAGTTTTTTCTTGGATATTGATTGACTCCCTTATTATTACTATTAGCATCCTATTAGTATTAGTATTAGTATTCTTATTTCCGTCATGATCGCGTGCCCGTTGCCGCCCTTGGACACCGCCGACTCGCGCGAGAAGGGCGA